ATCTGGCCTTGTCTCTCTCATGTTACTGCTGATTTACAGTCCCATGACCTCTGTGGTGGTTCTTCACTCTTATGGGTAGAGTTACAGACAGACAATTGTTACAGAAGGCAAAGTTTAATTAAAATCATAGACGATAGAAATGTAGGACTGGAAGGGACCTTGATAGATCATCTAGTCCAGCCCTCTGCACTGAGGCAGGACTAAGTATTATCCAGACCTTCCCTGACAGATGTTTATCTAACCTGCTCTTAAAAACCTCCAGTGATAGAAATTCCACAACCTAAAGTGAGACTTTATTAACCTTTTTCCAAACTTGAAGAAAACTTGGGACTTGGGTGAGATGGATGGAGACCATTTGAGACCATTCTTATTTTTTATAAACCTGTTTGGTGTTAAAGTGTGAAAATATGATCTCTACACTTTTAAATATGGTATCTATTTATTTTGCATTAAATTGTATGATCCAGCTAATTTTTCAAGTCATTGTTTCAACTGGCATAAAACTCACTTGGATGAAGTTTAGTTGATAACTCAGAATTTTAAGATGATGATTTTTCTAGGGTTGTCAATTAATTGCAGTTAACTCACGTGATTAACTCTAAAAATTAATCACAATTAACTGCAGTTTTAATGGCACTGTTAAACAATAGAATACCAATTGAAATTTGTTAAATATTTTGGATGTTTTTCTACATTTTCAAATAGATTGATATACAACAATTACAACACAGACTACAAAGTGTACCTTGCTCATTTTATATTTATTACAAATATATGCACTGTAAAAATGATAAAAGAAATAGCATTTTTCAATTCACATCATACAGGTACTGTAGTGCAATCTCTTTATCATGAAAGTGCAGCTTACAAATGTAGCATTTGTTACATAACTTCAAAAAAAAAAAAAAAAAGTAAAACTTTAGTGCCTACAAGTCCACTCATTCCTACTTCTTGTTCAGTCAATTGCTAAGACAAACAAGTTTGTGTACATGTATGGGAGATAATGCTGCCCGCTTCTTATTTACAATGTCACCTGGAAGTGAGAACAGGTGTTCTCATGGCAGTTTTATAACAGGCATTGCAAGGTATTTATGTGCCAGATATGCTAAACATTTGTATGCCCATTCATGCTTTGGACACCATTCCAGAGGACATGCTTCCATGCTGGTGATGCTCATTTAAAAAAAAAAATGCATTAATTAAATTTGTGACTGAACTCCTTGGGGGAGAATTGTATGTCTTCTGCTCTGTTTTACTCACATTCTGCCATATATTCCACGTTACAGCAGTCTCGGATGATGACTCAGTACCTGTTGTTCGTTTTAAGAACACTTTCACTGCAGATCTGACAAAACACAAAAAAGGTACCTGTGATGCCCTGTACCTCAGGGGGACACCCTACACCCGCATGTTCATCTTTATAAAATGATTGTGTGGTATCCAATGCAAAGTTTGTCATGTTGGGTGTCTTCAAAAGGCTCATAATGCACTGAGTATGGCTGTTATAGTGATGTTATAGTAAGCTTATAGGTTATAATTTCATGTGTATAGTTATGAGGCTGAAAATGTATCCTCATGGCTTAAAGCAAGCCCATGCAAAAACTCTCTGAGAACAGAGAGGCAGTTCAAACCTCATCAGCATATGGATGGGACAAGCCCAGCCTCATAGGAACAATAGACACTGGCTTAGGCAGCAATCAAAGAATCTGTTAGACCCTCAGAAAGGTTGTCATCCCCTTCTTTTGGGCAGTTTGGGACTGCAGTGAGGTAATGCTCACCTCACTCTGAAGGAGGGGGAAAAGCCAAGAGGAAAGAAAGGACATGATAAAAGGGAGAGACATTTTGCCATGCTCTCTCTTCCACCTTCATCTACAGACACCACCACCAAGCGCCTGAAACCCTGATCAAAGGGGAGAGCCTGACTGAAAAGTAACCAGCCAACCTGTGGTGAGCAGCATCTAAGTTTTTAAGGATACTGAAAGTGTTAAGATCAGCTTAGAATGCATTTTGCTTTTATTTCATTTGACCAAATCTCACTTGTTATGCTTTGACTTATAATCACTTAAATCTACCTTTATAATTAATAAATCTGTTTGTTCTACCTGAAGCAGTACATTTAGTTTGCTCCCTTTGGGAGAAAAAGCCTGGCACATATCAATTTCTTTGTTAAATTGATGAACTCATATAAGCTTGCAGCATCCAGCAGGCATAACTGGACACTGCAAGATGGAGGTTCCCAGGGTTGTGTTTGGGACTGGAGATATTGGCTAGTGTCATTCGCTTGCAAGTAGCTGGGAGCAGCTTACATGCCAGAAGCTGTGTGTGAACAGTCCAGGAGTGGGGGCTCTCACAGCAGAGCAGAGTAAGGCTGGCTCTCAGAGTCAAGGATTGGAGAGGCCTAGCAAATCACCGGCCCAGATAACACCAGAGGGGAACATCACAGTACCAATGTGAGATTTCTAAAGATAGCTACAGCACTCGACCCAAGGTTTAAGAATCTGAAGTGTCATCCAAAATCTGAGAAGGACAAGGTGTGGAGCATGCTTTCAGAAGTCTTAAAAGAGCAACACTCCAATGCCGAAATTACAGAACCTGAACCACCAAAAAAGAAAACCGACCTTCTGCTGGTGGCTCCAGACTCAGATGATGGAAAATGAACATGTTGGTCCGCACTGCTCTGGATAGTTATCGAGCAGAACCCGTCATCAGCATGGACACATGTCCTGTGGAATGGTGGTTGAAGCATGAAGGGACATATGAATCTTTAGTGCATCTGGCATGTAAATACCTTGTGATGCCGTCTAAAGCAGAGTCACGCGAATACCCGTTCTCACTTTCAGGTGACATTGTAAACAAGAAGCGGGAAGCATTATCTCCTGAAAGTGGAAACAAACTTGTTTGTCTGAGTGATTGGCTGAACAAGAAGTAGGACTGAGTGAACTAGTAGGCTCTAAAGTTTTACATTTTATTTTTGAATGCAGGGGGGTTTTTGTACATAATTCTACATTTGTAAGTTCAACTTTCATGATACAGATTGCACTCTACAGTACTTGTATTCAGTGAATTGAAAAATACCATTTCTTTTGTTTTTTACAGTGCAAATATTTGTAATAAAAAATATATAAAGTGAGCACTGTGTGTTGTAACTGAAATCAATATATTTGAAAATGTAGAAACCAGCCAAAATATTTAAATAAATGGTATTTTATTAACAGCACGATTAATCACAATTTTTTTTAATCGCTTGACAGCCCTATTTTTTTTCTAAATCAGTAGTTCAAGAAATTTTCTTTAAAACATGGTAAGCCATTCAGCTCATGCTCAGTCTTACTAGTTTTGATGATAGATTAGATCAGATGTCGGCTACCAGTTTATGCTCATCCTGAGAGAACAGCAGCCGGCCAACTTAACTAAAGCTATGTACTCAACTGTTTGATACTGTAGGTCCTTTCAGGAAAAGTTAAAGTACTTTTTTCAGTAGTCTGACTAAGCCTTCACACTTAGTCCTGGCTCTTGTGATTACCGTGGGGCAGAATTCTTGTTTGCTTTTAGTTTCTAGTGCTGTCAGTCTTTTAACCTTCACCCAGAATGTTTTTAAAAGTTGTCAAACAGCTGATATTCTTATTGATCTCATCAGCCATGGAGAAACTGATTCCTGTCAAAGAGAGGGAAAGCCTTGTTGTTTGGGATAAGAAGACATCACAACTTATTAGCAGGGAAAGAGACAAAAAAAATACATGAATATCTGAAGAACTAAAACAGACATTTAATATAGCTGAAATACCCCACCAGCTAATTAGCTGGTTATATAATTGCCAATCTATACCAGACAATCTGACATTCTAGCTTTTTATGGTATTAGTGGTGAGAAGAGGGAATTTGCCCATGCAGTAGTCACTTGTGGAAATTAAAGATGGAAAACTCCTGTTGGGCATCTAGTCCATCACATAGGGTGAAAGCTTCCATTGACTTCAGTGGGGCTATGACTTCATCCCAGGATTTAACAAAGGATCTAAAGAACAGGATGTCTCGTGATGACGACAGTAAACTTATAATAATAAAGCAAAGGCAGAAATGTGTATTAAATATTTGTTCTGTAGTTATGAATAATTATCCAGTTTCTTCCTATCATAGCAATAATAATGAAATAATTTCCAACCAGAAGTAACTAGGGAGGATGTTAAATAGGATTGGCAAAGTTTCTGAACGCTTAAAATCTGCAGGATCCAAATAACTTGCACTCAAGAAAAGCAACTGGCTGAGGAACTCTGACCAACTGATGTTGGGTTTTTTTAATAAATGTTGGCATATTGTAGAAGTTCCAGATGATTGAAAAAAGGTAATATTGTGCCAATATTTAAAAAGGGTAAATGAAATGACCTGTGTAACAATAGGACAGTTACTATAATACCAATTCTGTGCAAAATCTTGAAATGCTTGATACAGGCTGCAAGCCGTGAAGAATGCCAGTCAACATGGTTTTATGGAATAGGTCTTGTCAAACCTTTTTTTTTTTAAGATTACAAGTTTGGTTGATAAATTGACATGAGTTCTGTAAGGCCTTTCAGCTAGTACCACATGACTTTTTAACTAAATAATATACAAAACTAATGTATCACCTATTAAATGGGTTAAAATTGATAACTGGTAGATCTCAAAGTAATTGTTAATGAACCTCATCATTCATTTGGGTTGTTTCTTGTGGGGTCCCACTGGGATCTGTTCTAGGCCCAATGCTAATCGATATCTTTATCAATGGTCTGGATGAAAATATAAAATCACTGTTAGCAAAGTTTGTAGATGACAGTCTGGTGGAGTAGTAAATAATGACCGGATCAGTTATATAGAGTGATCTAGGAGTGTCTAGTGTAATATGCTAGTACCTCCATATGATGACATAAAGAACTGCTGTTTAAATAGTAATGTTATCAGAGATACACATTTAGATCCAGTCACAACTTCATACACTGCCGGGGGCCTAACTATCTTTTTGTCTTTAGTCCCGACAGACACCTGAAGGGGAATTCCTACCATTAGATCAATGTGAGTTGGATGTTGGATTTGGAACTGGAGCTGACCAGCTGTTTTTAGTTTCTCCTTTAACCATCTGTCATGAAATCAACCCCAGAAGCCCCTTTTTTTGTCTCTCTCAAAGATCGCTAAGAAGTGAGCAGTTTGAGATCGTTGTCATCCTTGAAGGAATTGTTGAAACTACTGGTAAGCTATTTGAACAAAGTGAATGGTCTGTCAGTGTTTCTCAAACTGGGATCTTTGTCATGACTCGCGGACCCCCTAGAGCTGGACTTGTCTAGGGCCACCAGGCCCTCTGATAAACTCATCCCCCTCCATGCTGCAAAACAGCTGTTCAGCAGCATGCAGGAGGGAGGGGGAGGGGGCAGAAAGAGGCGGGGTAGAGGAGGGGCAGGGGCAGGGGCAGGAAGAGGTGGGGCAGAGGAAGGGGTGGAGTGGGTATGGTGACCAGACGTCTCTCTGGCTGCTAGGTGCAGGGAAGGCCGGGGGGCTCTGCGTGCTGCCCCTGCCACGAGCGCTGGCTCCGCAGCTTCCATTGGCCGGGAACTGCGGATGGAGGCAGCAGCAGCGTGCAGACCCAGAGGGAGATGTCACTGCTTCTGGGGAGTCACCCGAGGTAAACGCTGCCTGCACTCCAACCCCTTGTCACAGCCCTGAGCCCCCTCCTGAACCCAAACTCTTTCCCGGAGCCTGCACTTCCTCCTGCACCCCATCCCTGAACCCTCTCCTGCACCCAAACTCCCTGCCAGAGCCATCACCCTGAACCCCCTCCTATGCCCCAACCCCCTGCTCCAGCCTTGAGCCCCCTCCTTGCAGTGGGGGCTGGAGTCAGGGCAGTGTGCCCCCAAACCACGGCTGGGACTGCTTGGTCCGGCTGTCCAGCACGGCTGAGGCTGCTTGGGCTTGAGGGTCCTCGAAAAATGTTTAAATCAAAATGGGGGGTCCTTGGGTTGCTAAAGTTTGAGAACCACTGGTCTACATATTGTATTATTTTAATATTGACACTTTCAGTTTGTCTTTAGTCCTAATATTTCTCTTAATCAGTGGTATAATATTGTATCAAGGCAGTCATTCAAAATTCTATTCTCCTGGAAAATTCGTATTGGCTGTTTCCATCAGCCTAACCAGGGTAAGCTTGGAATAGATTTTGTGCCTGAGTGAAAATGTTTTCATGATCAATTTACAAGTGTGCATTAAAATATAGTAATCTATGAATCTGTGCCTTATATGAAATTTTTTGCCTCACTTAACTTTTACAATATAGCATACGTAACAATATCAGAGACAGTTGTAATATGATGTCAGCAGTGATGTTTTTAGGTGTGTGTTGGTGAGAAAGGAGCTCAGCATGCTATGGGGCAGTGTGTTAAAGAAATAAGAAGTTATTTATCTAGCTCTAGTTCCCGGCACTCTTAATCTTTGCTAGACAACTCTCTAAATTCAAGCCAGGAGTACAATCCTTAACCCTCACAGCCAGCTGACTAATGGGTCTTTCAGACCACTTCTAAGAGAACTTCCCAGACACTAGTACAGCTAAAGTAGCACACCATTACCCGTAGTAAGAGAATACTCCCTGAAGTGTATGTTACCTACCTTTTTATTATTTTATTTGTAATTACATCTCCCCACTATTCAAAATAAATTGGTTTGGTACCATGACAAGACAGAGTTAATCAAATATTTGTATAAGCAAATCTGACTAAGTACTTAGAAACACTATCTCAACTGTTAGGAAACTGGCAGTCACCAGATGGAGCAACACATTATCTCAATGTTGTTAGATGTAGAATAGGATTGATTTTTATTATGCAATCTTACCGTATATTCTCCTCCTACCATATGTTGATCTGTTTTTTCATTTTATAAGGTTAATGTTCCTGTCTGTTTATGTAGGAATGACGTGTCAGGCTAGGACCTCCTACACAGAAGATGAAGTTCTTTGGGGCCACAGATTCCTCCCAGTAATGTCCCTAGAGGATGGCTTTTTTCGGGTGGATTACTCTCAGTTTCATGCCACCTTTGAAGTCCCCACACCTCCTTATAGTGTTAAAGAACAGGAGGAAAGCCTGTCCCTTCCATCTCCTTTGAATACTCCTATCGGTAACAACCGAAACAGAAGGGAACACATCTGCTCAATTGACTGTATTGATATTTTAGAAGAGAAAACAAACAAGTTTCCTAGTAAATTTCAAAAAATTAGCTCCAGAAAGGAGGGTCTTCAGAGAAGAGTCCTGAGAATGAGTTCCAGCAATGTAGAGAAAGCTTGCAGTACTGGAGATCTCTTGAAAATTCAGCAGATAAGTTCTGTTACCAGCAATGAAGATGGTGATGAAAGGATACAACTGAAGGCCTTCAGAATCAAATCTGAGTCTTTGACTCAGTCTACTGGAGATCTTGAGGTACAGAAAAAGCCTCAAGGTATGCTCACCTTAGGGACAAGACTAGAGGATAATTTGCCTGCCAAACTTCGAAAAATGAATTCTGATCGCCTCTCCTAAATAACAGATGCAACAGGAGTTGTTGTTAATAAACTGCATTTTAGACTTCTGTCTTTCAGGATTATTTTGGAATACTACTGTGATGATTTGGTTTTGCCAAGGGATTCTTCATAAATAAAAATTTTCAAAATTAATTAGCATTTTTTTATAATATTCAATACAAATCTGATTTATGTAGCATGGTAACTGTTCAGGGTGCTATACAGTAAGTTCATTGTGCCAAATAAACTGGTCCCTGCTTTAAAGCTCTGTATCAGCACTACTGTAACAGTTTGGTCTGGTCTTCCATCCTTTCAGAAGTCTTTCTGAAATAAAAGGGACCAGATTCTCATCTATGACTAAAGTGCATAGTGCAGGTTGGGTGGGGGAGTGTTCAATGGCAGCATAAACCTCACCTTTACACTCTCCTGATCCTAGGGCTGCTGTGTGCAGTGTGGGTATTCTCCCCGTGAGCCCCCCCCCTCCCCCATCATATATTAGAATAGCCCTGTGTGTGGTCTAATCTATACCAATCTCTTAATACCCTTAAGGGACTAAAGCCATCACTGGGGAACAGTGTACCTCAAAGATGCCACATCTCCTGTGCCAGCAATGGGGGGTGGAGCAGCAGGGGCTATAGGAGCTGCTGAGCCACTGGAGGATCCATTACACTTATTGTGAGCCTCCCAGGGCTGGATGCACCTGTTCTAATGGCCAGCAGCCAGATTGATAAAAGGATTTGGCCAAAGAAGTATATTAAGAAAAAGTAAAAAAACTTTTTTCTCCTACCTCTAAAAGAATTAAATCTGAAATTTGATAAGATGTACTAAAAATAGTTGGTGAAACTGGCCCTGAATACTACAATCCTATGATATGAAAAGAGTGGGTGACCAGCAGTGTCTTAAACGCACGAGTAAAAATTATATTTTGACTTACTAAATTTTAGAAAATGATAAGAACTGGGCTCATAGTTTATGTTCTTAACATCATTAGTTCCATAGTTATCGAATAATCAAATGTTTGCTTCAGTTTCTATTCTAGAACTGTTATTCATCTTTTTCCTGTGGAAAAATGACTTGTTTCCAGCCTATAGTAAGCAAACAATCATAACTAACTATTTAATAAAATAATACTTAGTACTTACTGTATATGATGCTGAGTACTTGTGGCACCTTAGAGACTAACCAATTTATTTGAGCATAAGCTTTCGTGAGCTACAGCTCACTTCATCGGATGCATACTGTGGAAAGTGTAGAAGATCTTTTTATACACACAAAGCATGAAAAAATACCTCCCCCCACCCCACTCTCCTGCTGGTAATAGCTTATCTAAAGTGATCACTCTTACAATGCGTATGATAATCAAGGTGGGCCATTTCCAGCACAAATCCAGGGTTTAACAAGAATGTCTGGGGGGGGATAGGAAAAAACAAGGGGAAATAGGTTACCTTGCATAATGACTTAGCCACTCCCAGTCTCTATTCAAGGAGAGAAAACCTGGATTTGTGCTGGAAATGGCCCAACTTGATTATCATACACATTGTAAGGAGAGTGATCACTTTAGATAAGCTATTACCAGCAGGAGAGTGGGGTGGGGGGAGGTATTTTTTCATGCTTTGTGTGTATAAAAAGATCTTTTACACTTTCCACAGTATGCATCCGATGAAGTGAGCTGTAGCTCACGAAAGCTTATGCTCAAATAAATTGGTTAGTCTCTAAGGTGCACAAGTACTCCTTTTCTTTTTGCGAATACAGACTAACACAGCTGTTACTCTGAAACCTGTATATGATGCTGTGCTTCTTCAAACCATTCCACAACAAGAAGACAAATTCTACTCCGATATATTGATGCAATTTTATTGAAGTCAGTGGGACTGCACTGGTATATCAGAGCAGAATTTGGTCTATTAACTAATCATCACAGTACACTTGTGATAGAGCAACTCAAGCAGAGATTAAATGATTTGCCCATTGTCACAAAAGCAGATGGATCCCCAGTCAGGGTTAGAATTCAGGAGTTCCTGATTCCCTCTCCTGTGCTAATACCACTAAACCAATATGCTGCCCACGTAGAATGGAATGGACATGAGCAACACATCTCTAAGAACAACAGTTACGAAAGGTAGGTAACCGTTTGTCATGCTAGCACAATAGTCCTTATTTCTAAAGGATGGTTAAGTTACAGGCACTATAGGATTGATAACGTCCTTATTTCAACTATTAGGCATCAGTTATGTACAGAGACCAGAGCCAGTCCTAGGGCAGTACAGTATATTTGGAATCTCTTTGGTAATCTAAGCTCTGAGGCTGAGAATTGTGGCAGTAAAGTCACTTTCTATTTTTAGACAAGAGGAAGGAGGAAGACGTTAACAGTTGACGTTCCCGGGGGAAGAAATATTGATACGCCTTTGCTGAAGAAAGGGAGGGAAAACATCTCCCAAGTTCTTCAGGAATTTGAACTGAAGTTCCAGAATATTTGCATGGTTAGGAAACAAATACTAATGAAAACTGGAAACATGTTAATAGATGGCTTAGCCTGTGTCTCTGTTTTTGAACTGCTTGTACACATACTAGAACTGCAATGCTGTACTGTACATTGGAGGGAGGGGAAAAAATGATGATATAGGCAATGTGTTAACTGAAAAATTAATTACATCAAAGTATTCATTTTCCTTGCATTGTGTGGCAATTAGAAAAGGTGTTTGGATCTCATTTTGTGCAGTCTGGGGATACACTGCAACTAGAGATTGGGCAAAATTTGAAATAGATTTAATAATGGAGAGAATCAGGAAAAAAAACCCACCACAAGACCTGCGTCTTTTTGGATGACTTTTAAGAGGCAAGAAGAGTTTTACCAAGCCTTCCTTACCATGGGCATAGGTCTTTAATTTTCTTTAAAAACTCAAGAGCATAGCCACATAAACGCACAAGTCCTCCTTTTTATTTTCCCCATATGCTTACAAAAGAAATCAAATGTCAAACTACAATTCTGTTAGTTGATGCTGTTTAAAGAAAAGGAGTACTTGTGGCACCTTAGAGACTAACAAATTTATTTGAGCATAAGCTTTTGGGAACTACAGCTCACTTCATCGGATGAGGTGCCACAAGTAGGATAGGATACAGAGGGACCTAGACAAATTGGAGGATTGGGCCAAAAGAAATCTGATGAGGTTCAACAAGGACAAGTGCAGAGTCCTGCACTTAGGATGGAAGAATCCAATGCACCGCTACAGACTAGGGACCGAACGGCTATGCAGCAGTTCTGCAGAGAAGGACCTAGGGATGACAGTGGATGAGCAGCTGGATATGAGTCAACAGTGTGCCCTTGTTGCCAAGAAGGCCAATGGCATTTTGGGGTGTATAAGTAGGGGCATTGCTAGCAGATTGAGGGACGTGATCGTTCCCCTCTATTCGACATTGGTGAGGCCTCATCTGGAGTACTGTGTCCAGTTTTGGGCCCCACACTACAAGAAGGATGTGGAGAAATTGGAAAGAGTCCAGTGAAGGGCAACAAAAATGATTAGGGGACTGGAACACATGAGTTATGAGGAGAGGCTGAGGGAACTGGCATTGTTTAGTCTGCGGAAGAGAAGAATGAGGGGGGATTTGATAGCTGCTTTTAACTACCTGAAAGGTGGATCCAAAAAGGATGGATCTAGACTATTCTCAGTGATAGCAGACGACAGGACAAGGAGTAATGGTCTCAAGTTGCAGCGTGGGAGGTTTAGGTTGGATATTAGGAAAAACTTTTTCACGAGGAGGGTGGTGAAACACTGGAATGCGTTACCTAGGGAGGTGGTGGAATCTCCTTCCTTAGAAGTTTTTAAGGTCAGGCTTGACAAAGTCCTGGCTGGGATGATTTAGTTGGGATTGGTCCTGCTCTGGGCAGGGGGTTGGACTAGATGACCTCCAGAGGTCCCTTCCAACTCTGTTATTCTATGATTCTAAGTACTCCTTTTCTTTTTGCGAATACAGACTAACACGGCTGCTACTCTGAAACCTGTTTAAAAATCACATTCTTTAAATATAGAAACATAAGGAAAGTCTAAAAATTAAGACACAAAACATTAACTTGGACACAGTGCACATTGCTCATTTAAATTCTCTGGCTTAAAAGTTGCCTGCCGAAGATATTTTTAAAAATTAGGCTTGTGCCCTCCTTTTGCTTCTTTATGGTGAAGTAGAATGACTGGAGGAGCGGATTATCTTTTCCTTGAATAACTGTCTGTTGGTGATGGGAATTTATTATAAATGAGCTCAGGCAGATGTAAATATTGAAAGGCAGCAGAAAATGGAGCAGCTAGAGCTCTTTTCCCTTCCCTGTGATGAAAATAGATGTTTTATATACTCTAAAATTGTCTGTAAAGTACCTGAGTGAACACAAATCCTACACATTTAAAACCAGAAGGGATTATGGTAACAGTACTCATCCAAAAGGGCTTGAAAAACTATGTTTGGGTTTCCAGTTCTAGCCCTGCATGCACCTAGTCATTGGTTTGATAAGTAAAACCCACGCTGCTGCAATTTTATCTCTAGTATTGTGAAGAACACAAACAAGCCTGTCTGTGCTACTATTCTATGTTTGCTTTATCTTATTGTGTACAATAATTAGTGCCCTATTAAATGAATTGATGTTTGCAATATGCTTTAAAAATGTGTTCTATAAATGCTGTGATTATAATAATAAGCAGGATATCAGACTGAGATATTGTACTTCAGATTAGTTTCAGCGGCCTAGTCCCCCTTCTTTATTACCAGATTCTAAAAGTGTACAGACTCTGTGCTGTGTGTATTATGCCCCCCGTCCTGGACTGGTGTAACTACACAGATGTAGTTAAACTGATGGGGATTTTGCACCAGTGTAAAACAGGGGTACTGTAGTTACGCCTGTGCAAGTATTCCTAATCTAAATAAGCCCTTAGAGCCAATATTTCACAAGTAAGCATTGGGAAAAGGAAAAAGAAAATTTCAAGCAGTGTAACTTTACCAAAATTATAGAGTAATTTTTTTTAAATTGTTTATCGGGTGGGGTTTTAAATGTATGTTATCCAATACAGTGATCCAGCAACTAAAAATTGGGGTGAGTTCGTTGTTCATGGATCAGACCATTCAGTGGTCTAATAAGTTTTCAAGTATATAAAAGGTTCTTACAAGGAGGAGGGAGAAAAATTGTTCTTCTAAACCTCTGAGGACAGGACAAGAACCAATGGGCTTAAATTGCAGCAAGAGCGGTTTAGGTTGGACTTTAGGAAAAACTTCCTAACTGTCGTAGTGATTAAGCACTGGAATAAATTGCCTAGGGAGGTTGTGGAATCTCCATCATTGGGGATTTTTAAGAGTAGGTTGGACACACATCTGCCAGGGATGGTCTAGATCAGAGGTGGGCAAACTATGGCAGGACCCTCCTGCCCAGCCCCTTTGCTCCTGGCTCGGGAGGCTAGCCCGTGGCCCCTCCCCTGCTGTTCCCCTGCAGTCTCAGCTCGCTGCGCTGCCAGCGCAATGCTCTGGATGGCAGGGCAGCGTGCTCCTGGGGCCGTGCAGCTGCAGAGCTCGGCCTGACCCGGTGCTCTGTGCTGTGCAGTGGCTGCCTGTCCTGGTGCTCTGTGTGGCATGGCTGTAGCGCCACCAGCTACCAGTGCTCCAGGCAGCACAGTAAGGGGGCAGGGAGTCGGGGGGTTGGATAGAGGGCAGGGGAGTTTGGGGTGGTGGTCAGGGGGCGGGGATGTGGATAGGGGTCAGGGCGGTCAGAGGGCAGGGAACAGGGGGGTTGAATGGGGGCAGGGGTCCGGGGGGGGCAGTCAGGAATGAGAGGAGGGGTTGGATGGGGGCAGTCAGGGGTTCTGGGGGCGGTCAGGGGACGGAGCGCTGGGGTGGATGGGGCAAAGAGCAGGGGGGCTAGATAGGGGGCAGGGGCCAAGCCACACCTGGCTGCTTGGGGGGGCACAGCCTCCCCTAACCAGCCCTCCATACAATTTCCGAAACCTGATGCAGCCCTCAGGCCAAAAAGTCTGCCCCCCGCCCCCCCCCGGTCTAGGTAATACTTAGTCCTGCCTTGAGTGCGGGGGACCGGACTAGATAACCTCTCAAGGTCCCTTCCAGTTCTGTGATTCTGTTTGCTGTGCTCCTATTGGCTAGAAGGGACTAGGAACAAAAAAAGATAACTGTTGAAACTAATGTTGTAGCTCTACCCTGTGCTTAGTCTGGAAACGGGTTCTTGGCTGAGGAGGTGTCAGAATTTAGAAACTGGTCGAATTATTGTAACCTCACTGGTTCAGAACTGTATATGTTGTAATAAAATTTCCCATTTGATTTCCTTAATAAAATGCTGTTCTTTGATTCTTCTACATGCAGCTGATAATTGGGGCGCACTTTTTGCCAGTGGTAGATGGGTCAGGGTGGCTCCTCTCTCTGGCATGGCTAGTACTTTCAGCTACAACCCAGTTCCCATGCTGCAGTGGCTTCCGCTAACTGCCAAGCTCTGGCAGCCCCAAGCCTCTTTCTTCGTGGCCTCATAGGAGAGGGAAAGAGAACAAATGTGTGCATGTGAGAGGAGAATGTTGGGCTGATTGGGGAAGAGATGGAATGGACTGAAAGCAGTGCCATTTCTATGAGACCCTGCAACTTGAAATACTCCTCTTCTGATATGACAGCCCACATTTATTGACTTCTAGGCATACAGTAAAGCCAGTCTTTCCAAACAGGTGTTGGAGAGGACTGTGGTGTTTGGGACGCTTGGGGTAGGCAACAGAGTGGTTTTTAGATTATTTTTTGCAGCCTGGCTGCTTTGATTTTGGAGGTGACAGAAGAGGGGTGGGGGAGGAATGTATTTGCTGTTTTCCTTTTGTGTTTAAAGACATGGATTGCAATTTTTAATGGGGCTGGGGCTGAGAACTTGTGAAAACATTGTATAGTTTACAATATTGATATCCAACCCCTTCAGCCTCCGGGTCAAACATCTCAAAAGTCAAGAAGGGCCACACTCTACACATTGAGGTAGATGCTCTGCCTCCTTTGGCAACTGAACAGAGAACCTAATTACCCTGCTGGGGACTACCTGGGAATCTCCAGCAGGTGTAAAGCTGGCATATCTGATTCTGCACCACTTCTCCTAAAGCCTTTAGCACAGGGGGCATGTTAGGTTGGCAAAAGGCATCTTGGAGACTGGGAGGGGAAAGTGGTTGGCATTTGCTGCATTCTGGCTATTCCCCAACTAATTTATGGTCCTTTGGGGATAACAGCCAGCTGGTGTATGTTAGAACTGTCTCCAGGCTGCTCAAATCTGGATGGAACAATGGAATCAAGGAGCCATAACTGGTTCCCTTCCCCTCTTCTGGGATGCCCTAAGTGGCTGTGAGGAACCATCCTTTGCTGGTTAGGATCAGGCAGAGACAGTTGATCACCTATTCCCCTATCTTTAGGGCTCTCACAACCCAGCAATGGAGTAGCTTGAGGTTTTCACCTCCCTCCCTGTGATGTAGCACATAAGCAGTACATAGCTCCTATGTTTTCTGCAGCTCCATGTGGTGATTTATAAATATTCTTTAATAAGCTAATTTTCATATTTGCAACTAATCTTCATGTAACTATAAACTCTCATATTTTTTGTGTGAATTTACTGCTAGTGTAAGTTGTCATCTTGATAGCTCTCTTTAATCTACAGGGTGACAGCAGGGTGAATTTCCTAGACAGACTTCCCTGCCAGCATGTCTCAACCCTCATTTTGAAAGAAACTTCCGAGAGGGTTATCAAGAATCCACAGGATTTGGATGCTATGCCCCAGCTTTGGAACAATCTCTTGGAGGAACCCCTCCAATGTGCCAGACTCCTAAGGGGTCCCAGTCTTTCTTCAGGATAGGCCATGTGGCCTCTCTGTCTAAAAACTGAAACTCTGGGCTTCAGCACTCCTGCTTCACACTGTGAGCTCTGTTCAATGAGTCCAGCTGAGAGAGACTCCTGGCAGAGACTTGTACACTTTTCAGGGATTAATGCACTGCATCGAATAGTTAGTGACACTTAAAGTGGTGTTTTCAAAACAGTTGGGTTTTAGTCAACTGGACCATAGCATAGGAGATCTTTAGGTTAGCCAAGAGAGGCAGCAGTTAAGCCAGTGCCATGATGAGCCAGTCAAACTGCAATGGAGGCCATCTCTGGTGTTCTCTCTCTCTCTCACTTCCTTACATACTCAGTTCCCAGGTGAGAACTCCAAGCTTCTTCCTGCACCAATAAATGCCCCACTTTCCATTCCTTTGTTCTTGAGCTGGAGGGTCTCTGCTCAGCTTCCCTGATGAGAGTGTTGACCAATGAGTCATTGGAGCTTGCATTATCTTGCTGGACTTGTAACTGATCTGGGTCAGTATGCTGAGATATATAAACTCCACAGGTTTCAGAGTAACAGCCGTGTTAGTCTGTATTCGCGAAAAGAAAAAGAGTACTTGTGGCATCGGATGCATCCGATGAAGTGAGCTGTAGCTCACGAAAGCTTATGCTCAAATAAATAAATTGGTTAGTCTCTAAGGTGCCACAAGTACTCCTTTTCTTTTTATAAACTCCACACTGGGCCGGCCAAGCATGCTCTGATTGGAGAGGCAGATTAAAAGAATCTCAGAAGCCCAGGTATAGGGGGAGGGAATTCACCTGGGAAGGGAGACCCAGAGAGTGGGGGTACTACAGTGGGGCAGCATCCCAAGGTAAGGGGCACCAGGGTCCAGGAGGGATACGGGACATGAGGCAGGAGAGATGCTGGCCAGCAGGGGGCTTTCTGAGGCTGGAATCGAGCTAATTCCTGGACAACCAGCAGGAGGCGCCATGGCGGTGAGTGCTCGAGCTGCTACTCATCCCAAAGGTGGCTCACCAGAATTAAGTTAGAACAATGAAGCACCTTACATATCTTAGGATAACTATCTTATTGGCTTGTTTAGTTTATATTAGGGCTGTCAATTAATCACAGTTAACTCATGCGATTAACTAAAAAAAATTAATCGTGATTAATTGTACTTATAATACTAGAATACCAATTGAAATTTATTAAATATTTTGGATGTTTTTCTACATTTTCAATATTGATTTCAATTACAACACAATACAAAGTGCACAGTGCTCACTTTATATTATTTTTGATTACAAATATATGCACTGTAAAATTGATAAACAAAAGAAATAGTATGTTTCAATTCACCTCATACAAGTATTGTAGTGCAATCTCTTTATCGTGAAAATGTAACTTACAAATGCAGATTTTTTGGTTACATAACTGCCGTCAAAAACAAAACAGTGTAAAACTTTAGAGCCTACAAGTCCACTCAGTCCTACTTCTTATTCTGCTAATCGGTAAGACAAATGAGTCTGTTTACACTGAAGGGAGATACTGCTGCCTGCTTCTTATTTACAATGTCACCTGAAAGTGAGAACAGGTGTTCGCGTGGCACTTTTGTAGCCAGCATTGCAAGGTATTTACATGTCAGATATGCTAACCATTCGTATACCCCTTCATGCTTCAGCCACCATTCCAGAGGACATGCTTCCATGCTCGTGATGCTCTTTTAAAAAAAAAAAATGTGTCAGTTAAATTTGTGACTGAACTCCTTAGGTGGAGAATCGTATGTCTCCTGCTGTATGTCTCATTAAAAAAGGGATAGAGAATACGATGGAGAATATCTTATTGCCCTTATATAAATCCATGGTATGCCCACATCTTGAATACTGTGTACAGATGTGGTCCCCTCATCTCAAAAAAGATATACTGGCATTGGAAAAGGTTAAGAAAAGGGCAACTAAAATGATTAGGGGTGTTGGAACGGGTACCCTATGAGGACAGATTAAAGAGGCTAGGACTTTTCAGCTTGGAAAAGAGGAGACTAAGGGGAGATAAGATAGAGGTATATAAAATCATGAGTGGTGTGGAGAAAGTGAATAAGGAAGAGTTATTTACTTGTTCCCATAATATAAGAACTAGGGGCCACCAAATGAAATTAATGGGCAGCAGGTTTAAAACAAATAAAAGGAAGTTCTTCACACAGCGCACAGTCAACCTGTGGCACTCCTTGCCTGAGGAGGTTGTAAAGACTAGGACTATAACAGGGTTTAAAAGAGAACTGGATAAATTCATGGAGGCTAAGTCGATTAATGGCTATTAGCCAGGATGGGTAAGGAATGGTTTTCCTAGCCTCTGTTTGTCAGAGGGTGGAGATGGATGGCAGGAGAGAGATCCTGATCCTTACCTGTTAGGTTCACTCCCTCTGGGGCACCTGGCATTGGCCACCATCAGTAGACAGGATACTGGGCTGGATGGACCTTTGGTCTGACCCAGTATGGCCATTCTTATGTTCTTATGCTCTGTTTTACCCACATTCTGCATATATTTCATGTTATAACAGTCTTGGAAGATGACCCAGCCCATGTTTGTTTCAAGAACACTTTCACAGCAGATTTGACAAAACACAAAGAGGATATCGATGTGAGATTTCCAAAAATAGCTATAGTACTCGACCTAAGGCTTAAGAATCTGTAGTGCCATCCAAACTCTGAGAGGGACGAGGCATGGCACACGCTTTTAGAAGTCTTAAAAGAGCAACACTCTGATGCGGAAACTACAGAACCCAAACCACCAAAAAAGAAAACCAGCCTTCTGCTGGTGGCATCTGACTCATGATGAA